GACTCACCTTTGCCACACTGCTGGAAATACCGTATGCGAAAACCTATAAAAAAGTGCTTTTGGATTCAAAAAAACTATGTCGGCAAAAAATGCCGCCTGCTCTATGAGGAAATGCCCACTGTGGAGTCCCAGGACTGGCACCTGGTGAATATTGGTAGCCTTGAAAACGAATGGACTATGGCTAATCAATCATGCTGAGTCTCGTGGCAATATTTGCTTTTAGAAATCCGTTTTAAAAGTTTTTGTAAGCCAAAAATGTTTCAAGGAATGTGAAGAGATATTCTTCAAAAAGTGTTTTTAGCATTTGATATGCGACTTTGGTCACATATCTCAGACGACAACACGGACATAATACGTATCCGAAATATATGGACGAACGAAATATCACACTTGAAAATGAAATTGACCAAGTGCATGATTGAGGCGAAAAAATTAGAGATTAATCAAATCACAACTGTCATTGATCAGAAATATGCGCTAATCATGCACGCTGTTAAGGACATACTTCGCGAGATAATAAGATAAAGATAGATAAGGAAATCAATTGGATGAGAGAAAAAATTCGAAAGAAGTACTTTCAGCTGCCTGTTGAACACTCACCTACTCTCAAACTAATCGACACGTTTTCTGACAACATAAAAAAAAGACATCCAGCGACGACTTAGACAGGAACGACGCCATACGTCGCGTACACAAAAGATTCACAAAGTGATTGATGAACTAACACGAAGACAAACTGACAATGGGATAGTCTATCGTTTGACAGATAAATCTAAAGTATTGCATGTCGATACCGCAGAAAACTATTCGAGAAAATCCGATATGTACATGAAGAAGACAAACGCCTACGTCGAGATACATCGAAATCTACTACCTGAGATGATCGACTCAACTCGTGAATTATTAGCATCACTGCTAAAAGCAAAGAAAATCTCTAAGGCGATTTTCGAAAAACTAAAACCACCACTCGAACCAGAATTACCTCATCTATACTACAATCCGAAAGATCATAAAGTAGGAGAACCTTTGAGACCGATTGTCGCTGGAATAAAATTACCAATAGCACCTATTTCGAAGTATCTCGACCAAGTATTACGACCGATATTTGAAAAACATACAGGGCATTACAATGTGAAAAACACATTGGAATTCCTTCATATATTAGACACACAGACGATAACAGCAGACACGCTACTGTGCACATTTGATATAACAGATCTCTATACAATGATTCCACAAATGGGATCTATTGCGGCTATATGTCGGTTACTCGGAAACACACATAACAGACGCGTCAATAGCATTTCCATTGACACATATGCCACACTCATTCGCCACGTGTTGAAAAATTCTTTCTTTTGTTACGGAGAAAAATTTTTTCAACAAACTCGTGGAGGAGCTATGGGATCCGCAGTCACCCAAGTCCTCGTCGACGCATACATGTGGCAATGGGAATGCGCATTCATGAGTGAACAGATAGAGAACGAACAGTTATATATAAGATTTCGCGACGATATCTTTTTTACGACTAACCAAACTCGACGCGAGATTGAACGACGGCTAGCACGACTCAACGAACAAGACGAACATATCAAACTTACATTTGATATAGGTAAAACAGTCCCATATCTAGATGTTTTGATTTTAGCCACTGTGCCACAAACTACCACATCTATATACCGGAAACCTGCTGCTCAGCCTTATATACTACCATTTGATAGTGCCCACCCATCACACATAAAACAGAATATCCCGATCTCATCCTGCATCAGAGCTATTCGAATATGCTCTGACGCCAAAGAGTGTCAAACTGAATTCCATCGGATTAGAACGCGCTTACTCATAAACAAATATCCACCACAATTCATTGACAAACAACTATCTCGTTTACTGAGTGATTTGCATATAGAAAGTGAGCAAGATCTGTTGACGCAATATTCAAACATTCGACAGTGGCTCCGACATCCAAATTGGAGACAGAAAGATGCAACCATACGTCAGAGAAAGCCCATTAATCGGACTTCTGACCTACTCATCCATTTTTCGTATACACCAGCATTGCGTTACCTCGGTCAGCATTTCAATCGCGCGTGGAAACGTACTTTTTCCAATACACTGCTAGATCATTTAAACACGATTATAGGTTATCGTATCACACCTAATCTTCGACATACTCTAATTAGGAAAAAACACCCTAGATATATTTTACGTGCAAAACCGTCCCCTGCAACGAGCTACATAAAAACAAAAGCTTGTATCATTTGAAAAACTCAAAAATCTATATATATATATAAATGTGCGTATGTATCTATGAAATATATATATCCGACATATATAAAAATATATATGAAACCTTTCTTGCCATACGCAACATTCGACAAACAAGTTTGGTTTGTTGTATAAAACTCACCGCCAACCTCAGCGCACAACGAACAAATGTTTGCATCACTTTTTCCTCTCTAATCAAAATCCTACTTGCTTTTCTTTGTAGAAAAGTAATTGACACAAAATAAAATTTGTTCTCTTTGTCTTTTTCAATCAAAATCTGATCCCCATTACCATGAATAGAAGACCATGAGCAAAAAACCTATTTTAATAAAACACGGTTAGCTAAAATCAAAACGTTAAAGCTAACCAATAATCCCAAACCTTTGCTTCCCATTGATGTTAATTTTTTAATTATTACGTGGAGATTTCAATTCAATAAACGATTATACGGAAATAATTGAAATATTTATCAAACTAAAATTAGCATCATTGAAAAGTTATCATGGTCTTGAAGTAAGTATTATTTTAACGAAAGAAATTTGTATACAGACTATAGCAGCAAATTTACAGAATACAGATTCTTTTTCTCTGATTCTTGCGAGGAGTAGAAAATTTCATGCTAAATAAAATAATTCTAACGAAGATTTGATATAAGAATCACAGACTTAGTCGGACCCGAAAAATTTGACAATCACTGTACAGAATCGAATCGAAATCAATTTTTAAAGAAATATTTTGATTGAACTCGCCAAAAAATCTTGAAAAATCGGTTGAACTTGAATCGTAAAAGGAAAGTTTTCTCCGTATCTGTCTTTCTTGCCCAGTCGATGTAAAAACGTTTCTTAGATCATTATTACGGTGCGTTTTTCTTATTCATTTAAGAAAGTTAATCGAAAGTACTTGATCGTGCTGTCCGTTCCTACTTGTTTTCTGAAATTTCGAGATTGGATTGCCAAAAGATGCATTTCAATGATTTGTGTCGTCCGAACCAAAATTTTCTGTATAGGCAGCATCTTCTCAAATTTCTTAACTTGTTGCTGTGATGTTGCCTGTATTTTTGAGAAAAAGCTGCCCAATAATTGACTTTGTTCATGTTTTTCATGATTCCTGTGGGTTCGATTACATCCGAGCGTTACTTTATCTAGTATCTTACGTTCATCAAAAGTTTTTAAAAGATTTCATCACAAGAAAAAACAGCAGGAATTTCACGCTCCTCCCATCACCTTTCATAGACATATTAGTAAAGACGATTTTGATGAAGGCTCAAATCCACTGGGAAAAATCATTTTATATGTTCTTTTTCTATAATTTTTTCTAGTTTAAAGCCAAATGTAAATTTCATAGTATCATCTGCATGCGAATTATCCTTGGTAAATTGTTCAGACGAGTCAGTATTATTTCAGTTTGTCACGAAACACCATCAGCTATTGAAAGATGTGAATTTAGCTGAAGTATTAGGAAATTTTACTCAAATTATTACTCAGCTGCCAATCACAATTGAAACAACGGGACCACGGCCGATTTGACTAATTGTCTTTACTGCCATTTTTGTTTTTTTATTGGCTGTTTGTGCCTGTATTTACAGTAAATGAAGCCTTTTCGAAGTGAGAAAAGAAGATAAAAAAGACTAAAATAATAAACGAAGCATGTTAATGGATGTTTTGATACGTATTCATTCATAGAAATCATTTTGCAGTTTTGCTGCAAAGCTAACGAAGGAACGTTTTTAAGTGCCCCCTAGCTTTTTCAACGAAACCTAATGGGTTATAGGTTATCGATGATGCTGATTCCAAGTATGAACATGAGAGCTGCTCTTAGGGCTCCGAAGACCCGTTTTTCTGGAAAACCAGTTTTTCAGGAACTCTGAAAAATTACTAAAATTTTTTTCCATAAAATATGCTTGTAGTCCGCACATTTCTGACTAAAATGAGACTACTCCCAACTCTACATGACCTTTCTTTGCAAAGTTATAGAATTTACAAGAAAAGCATCTAAATATTCATTGTCAACTCAAAGCTACAGAAATAAGAAGAAATTAATTTAAGGCTTTTCTTATAAATTCTATAACTTTGCAAAAAAAGGTCATATAGAGTTGGAAGAGGTCTCATTTTAATCAGAAATGTGCGGACTACAAGCATGGTTCATTAAGAAAAGTTTTAGTAATTTTTCAGCATTTCTGAAAAACTGGTTTTTCCAAAAAACCGGGTCTTCAAATCCCTAAGAGTAACTCTCGTATTCATATTCCGAATCAACCTTTAACCCACTAGGATTCGTTGAAAAAGCGAGGGGGCACTTAAAAACGTTCCCACGTAAGGTCATGTATTCGAACGGCTATCCGTACAAAATTGATTTTGTGGTTTTCAATAGTTTTAGTTTAGAATACTATAATGGGCTATTTTTTCGCTTGTATTCAGAAAGAGTCGAGCTTATATGAATTATTCTGTGTCAATGATGGTGTTAATATAGCATTACCATTAGATGAAATAATCGATTTTGATTTCAGTTCAGCTATTCATTTGTACGATTGGGTGTTTCTTTAATTAACTGTGGGTTTAAAATCGGACATATTTAATGGCACACTGATGAAGAGTATACATGAAGATCAAGAGAGGGAGAATATTAGGAAACGCTGTAAAATCATTTCTTCAACGTTATTGCAAGATTTGAACCTGCTTTATTTCTCTTCATTCGTACCAGACTTAACACTAGAACGCCTGTAGCGGTCATTTTGACCGTTTTGCGATTTTTATCCTTAATAAAACAAACTGCATACAATTTATTTAAAAATAAATTATGTCATAACTTTTAATTTGTCCCACAAAAATTATTTTTTGCAGAATTTTTAATTCATTCTTTAATTCAGAACCATTTTTAAGTATAAAATTTTAAAAAAAACAGTAACGGTCAGAATAACCGCTTTGGGCGTTCTAGTGTTAAACAACAACACAAATGTGAGCTAGGACATATGTAGAAACGAGTGTAAGAACGCTAAACAACCCATTAAGACAAATTCATAGCAGTCACCACTATCATAATTAATATAAGTT